CCTCCTCCTCGCCCTCGGGCTGCAGCATGAGGGCATCGTGGTGGATGGCGAAGGTCTCCACGCGCTGAGGGCCGTGGCTGACGACGGCCGCCTTCTTGAATAGAGCTGCTCGTCCGTGCTGTGGGCGAGAGGATCCTGGCCGCTTGCCGTTGCCGTTGCCGTGGTTGCGAAGCGTAGCCAGGATCTGCCGCAAGTCGATGACGTGGTAGCGCTTGGCCGCCTGCAGCTTGCGGCACTGCTGCGCGCAGTGGCCGCGGAAGTTGCAGAACGCGCAAGTCACGCGCTCTGCAGGTGGACAGCATGGTCCACCGCTCGTGTCGGAGGGCGACGTGCCAGCGTGCATCGGCGATGCAGCGAAGGAGCCGGGGCTTGGCCCGCCGATGGCGAGCACGGGCGTGCGCTTCTTTGGACGATGCAGGCGGCGCTCTTCCTGGATGAGGTCCGCCGTCATCTTGGACAGCGATGGCGGCGGGTCCTCGCGCTCCATGAACCGCATCGCCACATCAAACTCTGCGGGGAGTTCGTTGCGGACGAGGGTGCGCAGGTCGTCCTCCGGGATGGACACGCCGGCAGCGAGGAGCTGCGAGTTGATGTCCGTGATGCGGGACATGAACGTGTCGACGGTGTCCGTGGGCAACCAGGTGGTCGAAGAGAGCTGCTGCCTGAGGCGACTCACGTGGTCCTTGCCGCTGCGGATGTAGCGCTCGCGGAGGCGGCGCAGCGCAAGCACACCGGAGCGGCCACGGTTGTCGGTGATGGCCAGCCGCAGCGGGTGTCCCGTCAGGACGCCAAGGAGGAACGCGAAGATGGCTGCGTCAACCTGTGGATCACGGGGATCCAGCAGGCCAGAGGCTCGGGACGCCACCTGCGCTCCTCCGCTCGGAGTGGCCGAAGAATGGAGAGAGGAAGAGGAGGAAGATGGCTGAGCGCCGTGGTCGTCGCCATCGCCCTCGTCATCGTCGTCATCATGGTCCGCCACGTCGTGGCGGGCGCCAGTGCGGCGAGGGCCGCGTTGAGCGCGGGAGCGAGTGCGGGGACCCGAAGCACCGTGGGTGCTTGGGCTCGGCGATGAGGCAGCTGCTGGAGCCTGCCCGTCTCCTTGGTGGTCAGCACCACCCTCGGCGATGATGCCAGCGTCGATGCCAGCGGCGATGAGCTTGGCCTCGACGGTGATGAAGAAGAGGTTGGCATCCTGCTCAGCGCCAGCGAAGACCTTGATGCCGTCTGCGCTAATTGAACTGGGTCTCATAATCTGTTGTAAGTTCATGGTGGTGGTGCTGTTGTTGGAGACTTGTGTGTGTGTGTGTGTGCAGAGTGTGCTGTGTGTTGTGTGGGAGATTGTCTTGGCAAGAGGAAGTTGTGTGTGTTTACTTGAGTTGTGAAGCAAACAAGGATGTAGGATGAATGAACACTCCAACAGAAAGAAACAGGGCAGAAGACAAGAATTGTCCACAACGCAAAGTGGTGACGTGGCAGTGTTTGTTGAGAGTTGTGTGGTTATGTGGTGTGTTATGCAAGAACATGTAACATCGAGCAACCACACAAGCTAAACACTGCACGTGCAACAGGTTGGAGGGAAATCACGTGAACATTCCAGAACACAAGAGAGGTGAATGCAAATTTGTGGTGTCGTGAAGAAGGGAGGTCAATGATGACTCAGCAGACAGGACTTGCCTGTCAACACTCAGCCTCGAAGCTCTCCTTGATCTGCTGCTTGCAGGCACGGATGTGGCGCTCGCTGCTGCCGCTGATGATGAGGTCGTCGACGTACGTGATGATCCATGTGCGCTGTCCGTCGTCGTGGAGCTTGGTGAAGAGGCAAGCGTCGACGTTGCTTTGCGCCCATCCGTTGGTCTTGATTAAGGTGTGCAGCTTCTTGGCCCATGCACGGCCAGCTTGCTTGAGACCGTAGAGCGGCTTGAGCAGCCGGCACACCTTGCCCGCGTAGCGTTGAGCGCCGTCGCCGATGTCGGTGAAGTGCGGCGGCAGCTCCATGTACAGCTCCTCCTTGAGATCAGCCTGCAGGTAAGCCGACTTGAAGTCGAGCTGGTGCAGCTGGTGCTGTCGTTGCAGGGAGACGGCGAGCACAGTGAGGATGGTCTTGGCTGTTGGTGTTGGGGCGTAGGTCTGGTGGAAGTCGATGCCCGGTCGCTGGCTGAAGCCCTTGGCGACCCAGCGTGCCTTGAAGCGCGTCGGCGCGCCCTCAGCGTCACGCTTCACCTTGAAGATGAAGCGCGACTTGAGAGGCGTGTGCTGCCGTGGCACGGCGCTGCGTGGGATGAGCTTGATGACGCCGTTGCGCTCCATCGCTCCGATCTCCTCCAAGCATGCCTGAGTCCACTGCTTGCGTTGCTGGCTCTTAAGTGCCTGCTTGATGCTTGCAGGCTCCGTGAGGCTGGTGTGGTCGCTGCTGCTTGCTGTGAACGCGCCTGCCTCGGTGTCGCTTGCATCTGTTGTGTCGGGGTCGTAGTTGGCGTCGTTGGTGTCGCTGCTGCTGTTGGTGTCAAAGTCCGTGAGCAGGAAGTCTGTCTCGACATCCTCGTCCTGCTCCTCGTCGATGTGAACCGTTGGTGGCTCACCGTCAGTGGTGCTGTTGCTGCTGTCACGTGCACTGGGAAGCTGGAGCATGGACGATGTTGTGGATGTCTGCACTTGCTCCTCCCCCTCATCCACGACATCATCGGCCTTGGAGAAGGGAAGGAAGCGGACGTGGATGGAGGACACAACGGTGTTTGTGTCTGCGAAGTAGACGAGGTGGCTGTTGCTGCTGCTGTTGTAGCCGACGTAGATGCCTCGACGACCCTTGGGCTGCAGGCGTCCGCGCTGTGTGCTGATGTGGACGACGGCCGGCTGCCCGAAGACGTGCAGCTGTGGCACGTGCTTGGGCAGCGAGCCCGTGACAATTTGTAGCGGTGTCTTGCCGTGGAGGGAAGGGCGAGGCATGTTGTTGAGGATGTGGAGGGCGTGGTTGCAGGCGAGGCTCCAGTACGATGCGTCAAGTGTTGTAAGTTCATGGTGGTGGTGCTGTTGTTGGAGAGGGTGCGCACCTGTCGCTCGACGATGCCGTTCTGCGCCTGGGTGTACGGCGGGGACTGCTGGTGCTGCTTCAGGTGCTTCTTGACGATGGCCTGGAAGTCAGCTCCGAGGAAGATGGCATCGGAATCCGTCTGGAGTGCTGTTGTTGTGGGTGAGATGGGGAGCTTGGTCTCGCGCAGGAAAGACTGGAACGCGGCAACTGCGTCCTTCTTGGCGTTGAGATGGACTGCATGCAGGAGCTT